ATATATAACACACACACACACACACACACACACACACACACTGTGTAGCGCAGATGTGTTTTCAACACAGTATTCCTATAGCTAAACTAATGGTAGGCTTTTGAGGATTGATATTCAATTTAAATTAGATAGTTACATTATTGTATACACACACACACACACGCACACACACACACACACACACACACAATTTTCCACGTCTGAATACATGTCAGGTCATGTGTCCATATTTTATAGTTTACGTCTCCACTCGCCATGAATATATGAGCTGTCTCCCACTGATGGTTTCCACAAACATCTCCAACCATGCATTTATTGAATTCACATATACACAAACATACACAAGACACATACTGAGCTACCGCTCTGGCTATGCACATTTTGTTACACTTAACGTTCTGTGAAAGGAGACCTGAGGCCAGTCAGAAAGCTGCTGTTTAATTGAAGATTTTGGTTTCAGCCACCTCCGCTCTTTATACAGCTGTCACTTTGTTCCCTGTGACAGGCCTGAGAGCGGACAACACATGCACCCTGCTAGACAGCCTGACGCACCATCCACTAAGGCAGATGATTTTATGCCTTGTTCATACAGTTCCTGAGGGAAACTGAGAAGTAGTTTCATAAATGCATCTTTAATTTATGGTCGTACAATTATTAGCGATGATTATAAACAAAATATAACTGAAAAGGAGGATGCCACATTTCGTTTAGGGTCATAAAAATAATATTAATGAGGAAACAGGACTAAAAGTGAAAAGAAGCTTCCCTAAATGCTACTGTGTTGAGCAAACGCAGTGGATGTTACCTCAAGTACTTTTATTTTTTTCTTTTGCATATTTATGCAGAAGATGATTTTTATAAAGCTTTCCGAATTGCACCAAGTTTTTGGCGGCTTTTACTTCTTAATCAAGAAAGAGAGTTCTGTCGATTTACACCACTCGTTACACACATGGTTCGTGAATTCGGGTTTTGTTTTTTTTTCCTCATATTCTCCCCCAGGTTGTACATTCTTTCTCTTATGCTGAACATTTTTGGGATATTTGCTGCAAGCAAATTCTTGTATTTTGAACATCAACTGATTTGTTTTAATTTCTACAAGGTCCTTCAACTTGAGAATTTTAGACTGAAGAAAAAGGGCAGAAGAATGATCACAATATCCTGCAAAGCTGATCATTCATATTGCTTTGTTTTGTATGATATATAATGCTTCAATATTACTCTTCTATTAGATTTCCCAGGCCTCTACACAATCGGTTAAATGGGAGAAAATAAGAGAACAAAAGATGATATATCAAGCTTTCTTATCAAGACTTGGATTTATTCATTCGGGCCACAAACTTTGCCCTTTCGGTTTTGATCTTTGTAATGTGCGTTTTCAAAGAAATGTGATGATCAAGGGTTTCATCCAGAAATGTAAACTCTTTCGATTTCTACGCAATCCATCACACGTTTTGCAAGAAATATAATCTTCGTCTTTATGTTTGTCTCAATGGTTCAAGAACAACATCCTCAATGGACCTTCAAAAAGAGATGCTCACACACAGGGGAGCCAAAACAGTGGCTGTTGTTTGAAGCCAGCAGCCTTGTTTTCATCAAACCAAAGGGTCCCTCCTACACCCCGAATCAACAAGCTCTCCAAAACGTTGCAAATCACCCACACCCTGCACATGGCTCGAATGTGCACATAACACGACAACAACACACACAGTGTGAACTTCATTCATGTCATTTCTATTTGCCGGGCAGAGTGTTGCAGAATCAAATGAATCACTGAGGAGACTGGAATGTTTTTCAGCTTTTGGAGGTTGTGTTGCTACTGGATGCTTCTGGGGTCACACAGCAGGTGAATGCAGCAGAGCAATGCCAATATTTTGCGTGTAGTCGGGCTGAAAAATGTATCACGATAAAAGTATTTAACTTTTTTTTTTTTAACTTATCAAACGAAGAAAGAGTCATACATGGATTAAGAATGAAATACAATAAAACCATTCAAAACATTTTGGTTGTAAAAGTAGTTTTCAAGGAAATTTACTGTACATTGTAACCTCGTGTAATCTGTAATTGGTCACATCCACGCTCCCCTAGCAGTGCCGTAAATGTTTATTTGCGGAAAATGTAAAGATGCTACCCCAGTGAAGTAATGATAATGATATTATTATTCATGCATCAGATTTATATGGCGCTTTTCTGGACAACTGCACACTTAATGCGCTCACATTGGATACATTATTCATGGACTCACTCACTCACACTTTGGTGGTGCTGAACTACATTCTGGAGCCACAGTTGCCCTGTAGCAGGCAGACGGTTGCCAGTGGGCACCTACGTCCCCTCTACCTACGCCCAAACATTCCCACCCAGCCTCACACCACATTGAGTGGGGGGTTAGTGTGTCTTGCCCAAGAACATGACGACACATGACTTGGACGGAGCAGGAACCGAACAGGCTGATGTAACTATAACAGCCACGGCCCAGCCCGGTAGCATTGATACAGTTACATTAACCTTCATTTATTGTTCATACAATGTAACAATATGGTCTCATAGCACTGTTATTTCAGTTGAACCACCGTCAAATTAAACTTGCTAGTGGTCTCATTGTTGGCACAACACTTCAAAATTTTCTCTCATGTGCTTTTAATTGTGGTGGAAATCTAACGCCATACTGTCGCCTGTTCCTGCATCCCACAAATCATCATGCAGTTCAAGATAAGGGTTTTTCCTCCAGATTTTTTTTTTATTTATCAAGCATTCTATTGAATGTATTTTGTTTATTTTTACGGGACATACTGATACATTATCAAGGCCTGCTGTGTACCAGCAATGTAATTTTTGTTGCATCATACATATCAGGGAATGGGACAGTTCTGTTTCTTCCTATAATTAGGGATTCACGAACTTTTTTTTTTAAACGTTTTGTATTCTATATAGATTTTGGGGGAATTTCAAGCAGGGTTTTTTTTGGGGGGGGGGTCTGAATGAGAGGCAGACAGTACACAGGTATATGCTTAGTCAAGGCCCCCCAGAGAAAAAGGACAAAAAGCACATCTTATATTTAATCATCAGCACTTAACCTCTATTTAACTAGATTATTCCCAATGAGGTCAGTTTCTGGTGCAATGAACACCTGGTTCAGACCAAACAATACTACCACAATTTCACTGGGAGGAATGTGCAGGGCAAGAGCACAGCAAGGGGAGAGAGACACACATAGATAAGATGGATGAGCTACAAAGGCTGCTTTTGCCCCCCCCTAAAATATAACACTTAGGTTGAGGCAATGAGGAGGAGATCACGCGGACTTAAAAGAATGTTACTCAAATATAGTTTGCACATAGATATACACATAAACAATAAAATATTGATGAATTGGAAATATTTCATACTATTTTAATATACATTGAACATTTGGCCATTCAAGTGGCTCCACGGAGGTACTGTATTTATTATTTCTTTGAGAGTCTCTTATTATTCCATGCAGGGATCCTAGCGGAACACCCGCAATGATAACAGTGTTTTCAGTGTTGAAAATAACAGACATTGTCAGGTATAGTGGCAACGTAAGATGGCTTCAGTTGCGAGGGGCCAACCGTTCGAGACAGATGTTAGTTCATTTCCAGTTCCGGTTCAAATTAGCGTGTGTAATTTTCTCTCCAAAAGACATTCATTAATTGTCCTGCTAATTTGCTGTTCAAAGTATGTATTGATATATTCCCCCCTTCCCACCATGAACCAGTAGGAGCACATGCAGTCTTCACCAGGGCAATCGGATGACATTTTGACCAGCTAACATTTTTATTTATCATTACTTTTGTCAGATTCAAGTTATTTCTGTGACCAGTTATTTTTTCTTTCATTAGCAGAGTGGCACCGATAATGTTGTCCACTTGTGCACATATAGAGAGTCATGGTAAAAATGCAAATGTTGTGAGGATATTGGATGTGGCTGTGGACTCCTGGACAATGATAAATACACAGAGCGGTGGGACATGCAACCTCGGGTCCTATGTGACCCTCCGACAGTGGTCTCCAGGGGCCCGTTACCGTAGCAATGAGCAGCTCTTAATGGCATGGACACGATTGTGAGCGAGTGTGTATACTTAATGCTTCATGTGTGTGTTGGTAAGTGCGTGCACACATACATCACATGTTAACTGTTAATCTGTGAGCATCCTTTGTAAGCACCCGGAGAAGGTCTTTGGGGTGGGGGGGGGCCCTAATTGCCCTTCCTCTGTTGCCCCCCCCTCAGGCCTTCGCACCTTCTTCTGCGCTAAGAATTTCCAGCCTGGTCTCACACACTGGACACACAATGCTAATTAGAGACCCCACCATCTCTCCTAATCAGTTTTTTAGAGGAGCGGTGACCAAAATGTCACGATGTGCATTCAGACATTCTGTTGAAAATGGAGATTGGCGTGTTATTGTAATATAACAATGAGCAAGTAAACTTTTGTGTCCCTGAGGATGCATGCATGTGTTAAGTACTGACCAGACATGCGCATTTAATCACTAAATTCCCTTAAAGCTGACAAGCGAATGTTGACATTAACTGCAGTAGAATCCAACTTTATCTCATCACCTGTGTGTGCTTGCACTCGATACACACAAAGACAAAAACACAATCCTCTCAGTGGACAAGCGAATTTTTCAACAGAAACGCTGTGACTGGCATATGAGTTGCGTCTCCTGTCCGCACTGTTCTGGGAGGGATACGGCCTGTACAACAGCAGCATGTCGAGAGAAAACAAAATGCTTATCATGACTTCTGGCACTCAAATAATGTACTTCCAAGAGCTGCAACACAGCAGACAGCGAGGTAAGATGATGAGGGAAGAAGAGTGTTGGGATGGAGTAGATAGAGGGAGCGAAAGGAAAACGGAGGTGAAAAGCTGCATCCGTTATCAGTCAAGCTCTGTTATGATCAGTGCCGAGGTAGTTAACTAATTTACTGGTGTATGTGTATGTGTATGTGAATATGCGTGCGTGCGTGTGTGTCATACCCGTCTCATTCTTTGCAGTCGCCTTGGAGACAGGCTCTTGGTACTAGTGGGGGAACCTGCACAGACTGTCATCCCTTCCTCCTCTTCCTCCTGTGAGGCCGAAATAGTGAACATAAATCTCAGATGTTGTGTTACAGTACGTGCAATCAACATGTCAACAAGGCTGTGGTCCAAAACCACACACATGCAAACAATTGTTTTGAATTTCTATGTATTTGTCCATTTTCCAAATGCGTAATTTCTGAATCTTTTCAATTTTAATCTTGAGTATAAATGAACCCATTTTTTATGGGTTCGCTGCACCACAATGCTAATGTGTTTCAGTATGTAAACTTGAAAGTGATCGGGCAACTATTATTTTTTTCAATTTTCTGCACGCTTTACTTCACTGGGGAAAAGGGCATGGGCATTTTTATCAATCTGATGAGAATAAGAAATAAGAATGTTGCTGCTCAAACGGAATGTGATCAATCCACCTTTAAAAAAATGGGCAGAACAAGTAAAGACAGCAAGATTAAATTTGGAGACAGCGTAATTCAAATAAAACAAATCACAAAGATCACATTTTATGTGAGAAATGAGTGCAGCCAGCTGCTGGACAGAGTCACTAAATTGCTTTGAGGTCTCAACACCCAACAAGTTATCATATTGCTCAACAAGATTTGATGCGCTGAGGTAACTTCAATTCAGTGACAGGGGGCATTGGAATGTAAACTGGCTTTGAACTCTGAGCACCAGGCTCTAATCGCTGCTTGGATTTTTAAAACCTTTCCAAGTTGAAAGAAGATTTTACTGTGGAGATACGCTACATACTTTTTATAGTGTTAATATAATGAGTGACATTGTCAATTAATATGGGGGTTAAAATAGAATGGCATAACTGTATGGGGTTGTGGGAGGGGGAGAAAAAACAGGGGACATTGGATGGAAAAAAGAACAAGAAGGAAAAAAAAAAGATTTAAAATGACATGGGAAAAAAGAAATCTGTGAAAAGGTGCGTCTGTCTTCTGAACTGCGAGTATGTACTATTACTATAGCTGAATCTACATGTTAACTACAAAAAGTATGAAGACAAATGCATAATTAAGCAATAATATAAAAACAAAATATAGTTGATTTGTCAATCATTGTTGAAAATGCAATTTTCAAGTCTTTTCCAAAACGATTCCTCAATCCCATATTTCCATTAGCTGAATGTCAAATGATATCGTTCATTGTGTTTGGTGCTTTCAGTCTGTTTTTAGTCACGTTTGCTTCTTGAGTTAATGCTTCGTAGGGTGCAAATCCAGCCGAGAAGATAATTGGTACTTAGTGTGCCTCAATTAATTACATTCAAGCCCCCGGCCTATTGCGCTTTCAGATCATTTGGAATGTGGCTACCGAGTTTAAACTTCAGTCTAAGTCCTTTACTGTCCATTAACAGCTGGCAGCAATGTCAAAAAATGACCGAATCCAAGCTGATGACTTCCAACAACAGAGGAAATAAATTCTTCGCAAATCCTTGAACTTAAAGCGATTCCTGAATTTTTATTTGCCACTCTTGACTACGCGGGCATGTTTGTGTATACGCGTGTTTCACAGAGGGCTGCGTCTTGCTCATGTTGCTCGTAATCAGTGCCCCACTGACAGATCAAGCTGCTTTTGCCTCATCAAATCCAGCAGACTTATGGAAACATACACCTCGTTACATTAGCTTTGAGGAAATCACAGGCTCGCTGATGAAATATGCAGACAATAAAGGGGAAAGAGGGGCTGGGGTGACATGACAGGCCATAGCCAGAGGGGCGTTGGTTAAAAATGTACAGGCGTGAACAAAGCGCCGAGCAGGCTTCGGCAGTCATTAAAGAGTCCTGCACAGGAATCACACGTTCCATGTAAAGCAGCCTTCCTGCCTCTTGCGATGAGGGGCGTGCGTGTCCGGCTGCCTCACAACAGCCTTGTGTGTATGGGGGTGTGTGCGCGAATACTTCTATGGGCCTTTGTGTGGGTGTGAGGTTTGAAGGTCCGTTCTGCTGCTCACCCGTGGTTTAAGTCGTCCTTTAATGTCTCGGATGCCCCTCTTGGCATGACTTTTGGCCTGGGGGGAGGAAAAAAAAAACATACACATAGATTATAAATCTTTCACCTCCTCCCAAAACAATCCTGAAAATCAGTCTGTTGTGCTTTCATTGATAAAATCCGAAAAGAATCACCTAAAAGGGCACCCTGACCACTATGAAGCACCTTGACAGTCACTTATCGTACAGCTTTTAATGGTAGGACACCGCTTATCCAGGATGGACCGACTTCCATCCACAGCATGGCTGATACCTTATGTGTTCTTTTTCTGTCCAAAATGTCTTCATTTGACCTTCATCTTAACTAAACATGTATATGCAGCAGAGGCGATTGCTCTAAGACTGCAAGGGAAGCTCAGCTTCCCCTAAAATGTCAAAAAGTAAGTGATCAAATATATGTGTGTACGTACAATTGTGTGGACATGTCATTGACTAAATATGCGCTACAACGCGCTCAACTATTGTTTCGAATCAGCTTCTTATTACTGGTTACGACGCGACTCTCTTCTCATTCATTCCCGCAGCTTCACTGTGCTTTAAACTGTGTGGACGCTGAGCGTCAACCGCGCGGACGCTGGGCATCGAGAGAGTTCAGTGTAGGTTGTCCCAATGCATTGAAACGAGACTAGTCATTGGATAAATGCTGGTTTTGTCCCACCCATTGGACGCTCAGCGTCTCTGGGAGTCTATGGACAGCGGGCGTTTATGGGCTGGCCCGGACGCTGAGCTTTTCTACATGATGATTGGATGATCTGTCTGAGGCTGAATCTCTTTTTGATTGACAGCGAAATGAGCCAATCACCGATCTTATGGTGAAGGCATCCTTTTCATTTTTTTGAAAAGGAACAGAGAGTCGAATTCACGTATAAATAATCGGACACATTTTATGATGTAGGCCGAAACTGAGCTTCCCCTCCTTGACAGACCAGCATCCGCCACTGATATGCAGCCTGCTGCCGTTTGTGCAAGAGCTTTTACCTTTGTCACTGCCGTATTGATGAGTGCTCCTCCTCTCTGTGTACAAAAACAGTTACATTCGTCAGAATTCGTGAACATGAACGACCAAAGGCAATTGAATTATGAGGCACACATGGCATGATGCAGCAAATATGAAATGTGTAGTAGAAGATTACGTGGACTACAAATTGTTCATTTGCACAAGAGTGAAAGCAGTCGAATCCTAGTGCTGGCATTTACTGGTCTATAATAATGGCAGACCCACCAGGACACCTGCCCTGTGTTGATATATTTTTTGTGTGTTACGGCTCAATGTTCCATTGATGGTGACAACTCAAGTTTTACTGACTTTCAGTCGAATCGAATACTTCACGTTTTAGCGCGCTTACGAGCATTTATTCCCCCAGTGACCCTCAGCCAACTTGTCATTGAATACACTGCTTCTCGTACTGTGATTTTCAATCTCACCGTCACTGGTGAGGAGCTGTAAATAGCACCACAATTCCACTTCAGAGTAGCATTGCAGACGCCTAGTATCAATCACCGCGTAAAGCTCACATTTCATGGCATTATGGTGGTTTTTATTTAGAAGCGGAGGATGGGAGGGACATCGCTTGATTGATATCCACTTTGAGGCCAGCTGACCGACATTCTGGAAGGAAATGTCTTTCTTACAGCGCCTTCTGCTGCATCTTTCCGAATTCCTTTGTCGTCGCATCCGTGCTCCCTTTAGGTCTCAAGTAAAAGCACAAAGCGTTGGCTAAACAGCTAAATAGGGAAAATGGCAGGCAGCGTTTCAGAAGTTGGCAGAAGAGGGAGAGCGAGAGGAGCGGGGGGGCCCGAGGTGAAGGCCCCTCTTATAGATCCCTGTCAGTCAGGAAATGTGAACTTTAACAAACCTTTGAAGAGCACTCTAGAGAACTAATTCAGCCTCAGCTGACAGCAGGGGGAGAGTTAGAGACAGTCGGTGTAGTGAGTGAGAGGAAGAGACAGAGATTGGATTGGGAGATGGGGGGGCGGGGGGGTTCTGTGACAGAGATGAAACGAGGGAGGCAGATAAAGAGAGACAGACAGTGAGAAAAAAAAAAGAGCGACAAAGAAGGAAGGAGATCTATGTTCCCGGCTTGGTTTAACGTCGTAACACCAATGTTTGCAGCCAGATCAACACGTCATGTCCGTCGACGTCTTGTCATGTCAAATCACTTCTGTCTCCACCGTCCGGCTGCACGCGCCACTTCACACACCCTAAACGCTGTGCAGCTGCACCCGGATATCCTGGGCCGCCCGTTCTTTCAAAGCCCAGAGTTATGCCAGTCATGCTTTTAATTAACTTCAAAGAAAATGGCGTGAGAGGTGAAATGGGAGTTACATACAGCGGTATAGAAGCAGTTACGGTTAGGCGGGGTAACGTTCATACCTTGACAGTGTGCATCCACTGCTGGTAGGACTTTGCGTTACCTGTGGAGAAAATTGAAATAAATATCAATGACTCACTGTGGACTTCATAGCACTCAAGTCCTTAAATAAGGACGACGGGGTGACACATTCAGACGCGGTTGCATTGATTCAACAAAATAAAAAAAACATTTCTTAAATGTAAAATATGGAGGGAATGAAGAAAAGGACGGAACAAATAAATAAATCATAATTGACGAGCTCATTGCAAACTAGTAATGTTATTTGTTGTGTTGTTTGCTCTCTCTTGCTATACATGGTGACAAGCTGAGAGGAAAAGGAGATTTATGACTTTGGAACTTAACTTTTGTTTGATAGAGACAGCCATCATTTATACACAAATTCCGGATAGGATTGTTGAAAAATTTCATGAGATTATTGAATGTGCAAACAAAGGAAAAGCTGCCATTTTAGTGTTTCGTTGAAACACTTTACTGTTAAACACAATTTTTTATTGCTGTGAAGAAAAAAATGGATACAAAGTTAACATTGCAACCACAGCTGTCAACAGATTTGAGTCTTCATTTGACTTTCATTTTTATTAACAAAAGAAAAAAAAAAAAACGTTCAATGTTTCGTGGCAAAAATTTTCACTGCACCAGTACAGTGCGGAATATGCTTCTGCACACACGACACCCAAGCGGGTGTAATTTCACTGTTTTTATTTGGCTAGTGATGATGCCAAAAGCCAAAATAAGTGATGATGAATGGAATAATGACAAATGTTTATCCCGGTGCATGAGGAAAATTGTGGGTTGAAGCTTCTTCGTAAATACAAGTAAAAACCTCGGGCGCTCGCATTACAATTCCTTTGGGATTTCATTTCCTCTCAGATGTCTGTTGTGTCTTTATTGTCACTGCTGACAAACCAAATGTAATTGTTTCCATCAATTGTCTTTTGCCATATCCAACCAAATTTCAAGTTAGCTTTTTATCATGTAGGTGCCTATCAAACATGAACGGAACTAATTCAGTTTGAAAAGGTGCTGCTTTGTTCCTAACTTTTGACTGTCTCTGTGTCACTTCAATGTGTTTTCCAAAGCTTGATGTTGCCTTTTATGTCAATAATAATTAGAATCAACCAAATAGCCTAAAGCAGCTCATCAATGCATCTCATGTATTCGCGTTGGGATTTCAGAGGAAAACCAGCAGTGTTTAAAGGTTTCACGTTAGAATATAGCCCTGAAGAACTTTAACCTGCATTGTTTCATTCATCACCTTTTTACATAAGCACGATAACTTTTCATTCGGAATCTGAAAAACGGCAAGTTAATCCGAAGTGACTAATTGATGGACAGCTCCGCCACAACTCACTTCCACAAAAGCCCCCCTCTGTGATCTCTTCTTCAAACACGTCGGTGAAGCCGCGGCCTGCGTTCAATTTGGCCAGCCGTCCGTCGATGAACTACAAACATAAATTACAACTGCTTTATTAAAGGAGAGGAGGGGGGGCAAGTTACACACTTAAAATGATATACGGACACATGCACACAGAGTCAATCACTGGGGCAACACTGGGGTGTTATTAATCCTGGCGGACGGAACCACAAGACAAAGATTAGGCGGTTTGCAGGTAATAGAGACTGGCTAATGTAGAGCAGGTGAGCGAGCATTGCAACAGATTGCATGACGAACGGCGTGCAAGACATGAGGAAGTTTCATTTCCGCTCCTTGGAACACGTAAATCACCATCTCATAAATATGAAGCTCACAGCCAACAAAGCACACATTTCAGGAAACTCCACAAAGTAACATCCAACTCAAAGACTTAGAAACACAACATCAAAGTGGCAAAAATGTCAAACATAACCTCAAATAAAGCAAGATGGCACAATGTCTTCTATGACAAGAACTGAGCTTGTGTACGATATGTATGGATGGACCTTTGGAAAAAATAACGCTAAGAAAATTGTGAAAAATAAATCTTTTTTTAATGGGGGTGGGGGGGGGTATAGGACTGGCTTTTAACACCATAACTAAGTAAGAGGACGACCTGTGACGTTTATTTCTGAAGGAGAGAGCTCGTATGTCACAACATTGACTGTATACAGCAGTGTTGGCCTTTAGAGGACAAGTGATTATTTATGTATTTATTGATTACCTACCTTAAGTCAAATTACATGCAAGACGCATCACTAAAACAATAAAAGCTGACTTGACTTATAATTTCACCCCGCCAAGTAGCACACAATCACAGTAGAGATATAAAGGAAGAGAAAAAGAGAAATGTATGTATAACATTACATATAACTAATGATTATTATAAAATATAAAACAATCACTCAATTGCTAGGGTTAACATTTGTAATTTCCTAGCCAAAGAATGAGTGGCCAATTAAGGGTAAAGCAAGCAAAAACATATTTTTTTGTATTTTTGTTCAATGTAAAATAATAAATAACCAAGTGTCTTTCCCCCCTGAAATAACTTGACATGCTTGTGTGCTTTGGTTGTACGGTTAAAATAAAGACAAACATTCAGAAATGCGTGTTTCTCAAAGGACAGTGATGGATTGATATTCTTCAATGCACCCCAAAAAAACGCATAAATGTTTCACTTGAGAACATGCTATTGCGAGTTGTTCAAGCTGTGGCCGGGCAATTTATCAATGTATTCGCTACATTGATTTTTGATGGGGAGGGCTCAAATTGATTAAAGTACAGAAAAAAACATATAGAAATAAAAAATATAATTATCCCCTTTCCATCTTTGGTAGCCTGTTTATACTGATGCCATGCAGGCGAGAGATTTGAGTTTTCTTGCATCTATTGTGTGCAAGATTATCAAGAAGTTCACAGCCTATGGCACGGTAGCTAACCGCTCAAGACGTGGATGGAAGGGAAAAAAATTTAAAAGGTTGCGATGAAGAATTGTTTGAATGATGGCTAAAGAACCTCAATCAACTTCTAATTCAAGTGTCAGCTCGCACTATCCGTCGCCATTTGAATGAAAACGGACACCATGATAGGACACTCAGGGGGACCCCCTCGCTGACACAAACATAAACAAGCCAGGCTGGAGTTTGCATCGACTTATCCAAAATCCCCCTGGGAGAATGTCCTGTGGACAGATGAGCCAAAGTAGTGGTGAAGCACATCAAATGAACTGTTTGCCAACAGCAAAACGAGGCCTTTAAAGAAAAGAACACTAGCCCTACGGTCAAACATGGTGGAGGTTCACTGATGTTTTGAGGTTTCTTTGCCACTTCTGGTACCAGATGCTTTGACTGTTTGCATGGCATCAAGAAATCTGAAGACTACCAAATAATTTAGGGATGCACTGTCGGGCCCAGTGTCAGAAAACTGGGTCTCCGTCAGAGGTCACGGGTCTTCCAGCAAGACAAAGACCCAAAGCATACTTCAAAAAACATCCCAAATAGCTTAAGATACAACGCTGGAGAGTTCTGAAGAGGCCAGCAATGAGTCCAGATCTAAACCCAATAGAACACCAGTGGCGAAATCTTAAAACAGAAGTTGGAAGAGGCACCCTACAAATTGGAGACCTGGAGGTGTTGGCAACAGAAGGGTGGGCCAAAAGTCCAGCATAGAGGTGGAAGAAACATGTTGATGTTTGACACAATGGGATTTAATTCAGCTCCCCAACCACCACCACCACCAAAGTATGTGCTACTAATTATTAATTTGTGGGTGTCAATAATTTTGTCCAGTCGATTTTAGGAGTGGAATGATGAGATTTAGCATCAGCCATCCTCCTCACCTCCTGGCTGCTTTTTTCCCTCATGTTCCAATGCCAAAAAAAAAAAAAAAAAAAGAGAAATAAACATGAATAGAGATGAATTTGTAATTGCTACAGTTTTCTGGGTAAATTAGTGCAACATCTGACAAAAGCACAGGGGTTCCAAAGCTTTTGGCCATAACTGTCTGCACAATTTTGTTTACAATTTCAAGAGCAAAGGTGAATTTTGTTTGGATGCAACACCTTTTATCAGTGTTAGGTTCGGTGACAGTTTTGTTTGTTAGGCATTGATCCCAAAGGAAATATCATTTCCATTCATGGATATTATTTTTTAGGGGATGTGTTTAAAGGGCAATTTTTGAACAATTGTTTCCTTTTTTTTTTTTTTTTTAACTATAGGAGGAACAATATTGTTTAAAATCGGTAATTATTTAATTTTCTTTTTATTAAGGGGCTTGAGAGGGAGGAGAGTCATTTATTTTATTTTTAGGCTTGTTCACCCAGCCCTTGTGCAGCTCTAATTTGTTCCTCTTTGCAAGTGTGTCCAACACCCAACAAGAGCATAGGTTGTTTTTGGCCACGATGTCCTCTGGGACTGCCGGCTAACTAACAAGCCGCGCGGCCACCCGCTCCTCTGGTCAGGAGGCTGGAAGCTCATCATTAGATCATTTTAATGAGAGGTGAGAAACTACTCGACTACTTGGCTGCTCTAATTAGCGCGCATAATCAGCCCAAATCAACACCGAGCCAAAGATGCCACTTATCTCACTCAGGCTGATACCTGACTCATTGTGGGCATTTAATTATTACAGACTCGTCAGCACAAAACCAATGATTTCTGACCTACCCAAAATACATCAAGAAAGCGAGAACAAATTAGCAGTATGTTAAAATATTTTTCAGTCTTGATGTTCCTCATCGAGCTACACAAGTTAAAGATCAGAGAAGAAACGAAAGCACGTTTAATCCTCCGTTCCATGTAACTTTTTTTTTTCCCCCGGAGCAAATGGTGCTCCTGGTGTTTCCAGGAGTCACAACAGTCTCGATTAATTATCTCCACCAGGGAAGTTGTACTTTCTCTGTCATTGAGTCTGTCAGCAGGGTTATACACACACACACACACACACACACACACACACACACACACACACACACACACACACACACACACACACACACAAAAAAAAACAAAAAAACATCAAGCCATCTTTTAAAGCTCTTAATGGACATCCAAAGAAATTATTTCACAAAGAAAATAATAAACTGATTACGAATAAACTTTTTACAGTCGTCTTGGCAAATACATTATGTTCTATGAAGAGTGTACTTCTTAATCTTGGCAATACGGATAGTTTTGGTCTTTGAACGGCAGTTGATATCTTCTGGTGAAATTGAGGTTTTCTTGGGTTTTTTTTAGACCTAAAACCTGAAGACATTTCAAGGCATGAAGAAGTTTTGGCTTCATAACACTCCCCACTTTGCCAGGTGCTCAAAATGATATTTGGTTGTGAGAGGTGGCAATACTAAACTGTGATTAAACTGCTGTTAAACTAGCTTTTTTTTTTTTTTGTGTTACTGTAAAAAAGTAACACAAAAAAGTAACACTGTTAATAAAACTGATTGAAACTATTTTCTCTGAGATGTATTGCTGATGTCAGGCGGAATCCTCCAAAATCATCACTTTTCAGGAAACGGCATGTTTTTTCAACCATTAACATTGTATCATCAAATAAAATCAGGCCATATTCAACATATAAAATCAGTCGGTAATTTTGAACAATGCCACTCATCTGTGTGGATTGAACAATATTACCGTATATATTTGTGACAATTTTTATTGGCATTTTAGTTTTGATTAGTTGATTCATTCAGTTGGTTCTATGCATTCTAAATGTTGACAAGTGAACAACTAAGCCTGATGGATGGTAAATGACTGCCGGGTCGAAAGTTATGTGAATAGAAAAGCGTTTGGCAATCGTCCCCTGTACACTCAATTCAACTGTGTGTGGCTTAGATTTATCATGCTCAGGAAGAGAGTTCATTGACTCAGACTCTGCTACAGAATGCGTCCGTCCGTGTGTGTGTGTGTGTGTGTGTGTGTGTGTGTGTGTGTGTGTGTGTGTGTGTGTGTGTGTGTGTGTGTGTGAGGGAGAGTGTGCATGCTTGTGTATCGGGGCTGTGGATGGCTGATAGGAAGCAGATTGATGCCATCAACCTTTCCCCCGCATTTTTTTGAGTAGCTGGAAAATTGATGAATTGATGGCTGTGTGGAGTGAGATGAGTGCCAACAATTGGGTAATAGAAAAGAAAATTTAGGAAGGCAAAAGGAAACTGCAATTATTATTTTTTTAATATGTGAGGTATAAATAGGACCATTTGACAGCATTTCCGAGCTTGAAAATGGCCACAATTAACAATCCATTAGTCTATGAATTATTTGTTTAAAATATTTTTATTTCGATTTTTTTTTCAACTCCTTTTTTGATATTGTATTGAGCATAATAATGCTGTCGGGGAACAAAGTGAGATTAACCTTATCTTATTTTACTCAAGATACAATTAACCAACCATCACTTCCACACAATTGAGGTAATTCCTAATGATTATCATGTCCTTTATAATGCCCAGCCTTACAGCTGACAGGACATACTGTATATTAGGTCTACAGTAGCAGCAGGTCTCTTCAAATTTAACATACATCATCCGTTTTCATTGCCTCTTTCAAAATGAATTTTAAAACGGATTCCTCGTTTCTACATGACTGGACGCAATGAATTCATCATGAGAGGGCAACACCATCCTGTTCCCTCTGACCTGAAACAACTTTTAATGGAAAAGACATCTGATTTGTGTGTGCAAATCAATCATAACAACAGGTAGAGGTAAAAGGATACAGGCTTAAGCAGCCATTAAACCATTTGTGCATTTCGGGTGCAATATGATACAACAATCGGTTGAGATGGAATGTTCATCTATCAAATTTGTTACAGTGCAGAGCCGGTTAAAAGTAAGTGAAGTACAATAAATCAAATTTCTGAATTAACTTAAATCTATGGTTTAAAAAACACACGAGCCAAGTCCCACAAGTTGAGGGCTACACTGTTCCACGCGTTGAATGTTTGTGTGTTGCTGGAGCGGATATGGGTCAAGGCCAGTGCAGAGCTCGCGCACGCCACTGGCATCTCGGTCGAAGGAGGAGTGGGGGAGATAAGCGCATCCCAGCCCCCGTGCTCGAGTGCAGATAAGGGTCTGTTTCCCAACGTTAGAGCGGAGGCAGGAGCCGGCTGGGAGGAGGCTTTGAACTGCTGCTCACTATCTGCTCTGCTCTGGGAAAATTATAGATGGAGCGGAGTGTCCAAAGAAACAAAAGGCTGATTGAGGGCCGCCGTGCTGTACTCTGGGGGGTAAATCACACTACTATCGCGGGTCAGAGATCACAAAGAAAAGTTCAAGGGGTGAAGAAAAATGTTCTTCGTAGCAGGGGTGTCTTTCCACTTGGCTCAGACACGGGGCTGCCTTGAGTATGGCAGAAAGGGATTTGGAGGGACAAATCATCAAGTATACATGAGTGATTGGAAGGCAAGCTCCTGCAGCCTGACATGAATAAAGGATAACCGCACGTGCAAGGTGTATGCACGTAAACACAGTTAAGGCCACGGTGGAATACAATGTGTCAGTGGTGAATTGGAAATTTTCTTAATTAAAATTCTTGCAACATGCTTGGGCTGGCTAGAGCTTGTGCTGAGATAAGCACTGTAAACATTTTTGATGAGGTCAGTGACCATCTCGTTTGAGTCCGTGTTTCTGTCTTGACTGCTTCTCATCACATGGGGGGGGGGGAAATGTAAAAATTCTCGCCAACTTGAATGACACCAACTCAGCACATCATTTGTTGAGCGCACAGTGTAAAATTTGTTACAAGATCAGCCACAAAATGATGACTTGACTTGATTTTGTGAGGCAGTGTTAGTCTCCATGCATGCATCCATCCATCCATCCATCCATTTTCTAATCAGCACGGGTAGCGGGAGTGCTTGGAGCCTATCCCAGCTGTCTTCGGCAGTAGGTGGTGTACACCCTGAACTGGTTGTCACCCAATCACAGGAGTCGCATGAATTCAAGTGCAAAAATGCTTGAAATGGGTACCTTTTTTTAACCCTCCTTTCAACTTTTCCACTTGTTGATCATATTTTACAAAATAAACAACCTGTTGGTGAACAGAGATGAAGGCACTGTGCAAAGCTATAAAATACAATAATCCCACCACTACAGAATCACACGCACAAAGACAGTTGTTTGTACCTGTTTGAAGAGCTGCAGGTTGACCGCCATGGACAAAAAGTTTCTCATCGTGCTTGAGCGATGGCTGACAAAACTCTCCTCGCAGAATGTTATTGGCTCCCCCTTGAAGAATCCACACAGACAAGATTGGTGATTTTTTTGACAAACACCATTTAAAAAACTACTGGTTCTCTTTCGTATTAATCTAATTGACTGAGTTTAAAAAAATATATATCAGGAAGATCAGCGTGTGTAAGTCAACTTGGGTGGCAAGTGGTCAAAACATAAATCCAATTGTTTAAAGGAGTGGTTCTCAAACCCTTTATATCAAGTACTACCTTAAAAATACTTAGCTCTCAAAGTATCATCGACATGACCAACATTAAACAAACATGATCTTACATATTTATTGCACAATTTGAAGATACACACTGTGCTTAAATACAACAAAAAAATAAAATTAATAATACAATAATTAATGATAACATTGAAGTTTTAAATTGAAAAAAAAATTTTTTTTTTTAAATGCACCCCTGTCTTTGACAAGCAGTTCTAAAATATTAAATGCAAATGTATGTTATGTTCAAGTGAAATACAACTGAGCTTTACTCAAAAATTTTACATTGGATTAAAAAAAAAAAACAAAACCATTTTGCACAGTTTGAACGTTTAATTCAATCATTTTTGGGCACACCACTAGAGGAAGACCGCGTACCACACTTTCAGAATCAGTGGTTCATATGATAAATAGAACAAGGTCATTCACACAGTGTCTGCATTAAGCTTTGAAGCTCTTCCAAAATAAGTATTTCAAAAAATTTCTTCATTAGTGGGTCGAAAAATGTCTGAGAGGGGACATGATGGTTAGAGGAGGGAAGAAAGAAAACTTAAAAAAAAAAAAAAAAAAGAGGTCCCTTGGCAGGCTCTATACGCAGTCCCAGTAAAATCCAGAGTGCTCCACATGAACACGTTATTACTGTTCCTTACATCATGTCTGTTGGCCTGTGAGCTGTAGACACAGAGGATGACAACAAATCCACTGCAGGCCAATCACACGGAGCCCCAAGTCATTTTCAAAACATGTTTTCTGATAATTAATGTAATTCTCACATAGGGCAATGATGCTCTAAATTCGTTGGCTGTAAAACAATGCTTGTTGTCTGGTGGTCTGGCTGTGAGCGCAGTGTGACATAAAAAAAAAAACAAAACCCCAACAACAACACTTGGAGACTAACCCCATTTTCAGGGATGGGCGGATGATCGCAGTGGCCCAAATTACATCACAGGAATAATGCTCCACTTACATCACAAAAAAAAAAAAAAAAAAAAAGTTTTCAAGGCTCATTCTCTCATAAAGGAGAGTTGAATCATTTTTTTCCAGGCCCCATCTGGCTGCTGCTGCCTCCGGCCTAACGAGCAAAGCCAAACTGAACAGAATGCTGGGAAATTCTTATCAAGTATGTGTAGCAGTCAACCAGTGATGCAAAGTCTATTTCGAAAAGTCATTTGGAGATTTCGTGATGTTATAGCATTAGCAATATCACGTCTCACCTTGATAAAAACTTCAGCTTGTTTACATTAGTCATGTTTCTGTCAATATTCATGTACGAATCCAAGCGTTGCTCACATTTGCTCAGAATGAGGCATTTTGGCACACTGTGATTCATTTGTACACGGTTCGAGGTTTGGATAACCACTCAGCCCCTCCTGAGTGGAGTTTTCAATGCTACTCATTTGTAATTGGTTTTTCTTCCACGCATATTCATGGATTGACACCCAGTTCTCCAACATCGAGGGTTCAATTAAGCTACTTGATAGTAACCAAGCCAAGCAACCTGACACGGCTTCATCAATGTCGAAAGTGACTTGAAATACTATTTCAGGTGATTCTTTAGCTTCTGTGGCGCTCCAAGCAGGAGATGAGCATCTGAGAGAACATGGGGTGGAAAATGATTGACCTACGAAACATCTTTCTACTCATCGGATTGCTTTTGGACTCATTAGTATTTCCCAGTGTTTCATTTACAACTCAGCAAGACTCCCACCAAGTTTCCTTCTGTCACGACATATGGGCCCATGAATCACAGTCATGGGCTCACTCATGTCTGGGAAAAGTTATTCTACAAATATCACAACTCGGTGCAAGACGAGGTGTGTGTGTGTGTGTGTGTGTGTGTGTGTGTGTGTGTGTGTGTGTGTGTGTGTGTGTGTGTGTGTGTGTGTGTGTGTGTGTGTGTGTGCATGAGCGTACATACAGTATGCTAACACAGAGACATTTGCAAGAACGCTGCCTGTAAGAAACCAGTGAGAAATCATCACATGTACACCAATACACAACGACGAGTGTGAGTGTTTGTGTCAGAAAGGAGGCAGTTTGTTCGTGTACTGTCTGTATTCGCAGAAAAGCAAGGCAGCATCAATAATGTAGCATCTTGGCGAGTGGGAGTCCACAAAGTCCAATTAGTTTCAAAGCTAAAGGAACAAAGGCTTTGCTATTTGTCAAACAGGACATGCTGTAGTATACCCAGCTCCAACTCAGACCTGATCTGCAGAAAAGATCCAGTAAAGTGATGTTAGCGGGGCTTAGCACAGGAAAGTCAAACTCCAAAGGCGTTCTAAAAGAGATCTTCAAAAGAAACGTCCTGAGTCTTCTCATATCCGTTGACATTTCATTGGCACAGACAGGCCCACGTTAAACTTGCACTCCGCCTGCAAATTTACCTTTTACTCACAATTCCAACGGGCTCAGTCCAACGGCTGACATTTGACTCAATTCGCCCTAACTGAGATTGGTGGCATGTGCCTACAAGGCAAGAACAATTCGGTGTGGATTCACACCTGTAGTTTAAAATCTCTTCTCCACATATGTTGATAGGTTTGAAAATCGATCCATTCACACCAGACGATGAAAAAAAAGGTGTTGAATTTACTCAATTTGATTTTGTCAATTGCGTGCACGAAATCATCTGGATCCAAATAAATGTTTTATAGGAGATGTATAGTGTGCTTAAAAAATGGATCTGGATCCAGATTTTATTTTGTGCAACCATTTGCCCCAATACAATTGAGGAAATTCAACTTTTAGTGTAGTTCGGTTTCTTTTCAGATACTCAAGAAATATAATATCACCATCTGAAATACAGGGGAAAGTTTAGTAGTTGTATGGATTAGTTAGTCAAACCTTGTTGATAGCGTTAGTCATACTGACACAGTTCTGTGAAATCACAGACTTGATTATAAATTAAGCATGTTTGGTACCACTTTCTTTCAGACCAATTCCAGTAGCACTACTCAACACTTGAATACTCAACGATACCGCTACAACTAATAATTATGAAAGATAAAATTTCTTAACAAAGATATTGACAGATAATTTTAAACAAAGACCTACAGAGAATGACAACATGGCCCAAACCCAAATGTCTGGTAGAGGCCCAGACAGCGACCTCCGTTAATTTAAAACTATTTGCAGTGACTGAAGGTTTTCAACTGAGTTGATTGGATGTCGGTAGAAGAAGAAAAAAGCAATCTGAGTGTAAGATCATGACATCCAGGTCAGTTCCTACAAAGCTTTACCTTGAGTCTTATCAATATACAGAAATTGCTTATCTTAATTTAATGGGTTTTTGTCAAACATGCATGCCTTTAGTTCCTGATCGTAAAACGGCCACAACAGTAAGGCCGATAAACAGCCAAAGAGGACCAAAACCATCTTATTAATATACCTTAACATGAAAAACTTGCAGTATAACACCATTAGCGTTATTTGTTAGCTGTCATATTAATGAGTCCTGACTTTTGATTTTGACTTTTGAGGGCTGCAAAAGAAATGTACTCAAAATTGGCCACTTCTTATGAAAAGCTGCGGGTAATCACATAGTGTATTTGCAAAGAAAGAGGATGGATTTTAAAAAAAGTTTTATTGACCTAAACACCGGTAGAAGCTTTTTTTTTGTTTTTGTTTTGCCAAACAATGCAAAACGTAGTATCCCTGAAGCGTTTCGTTGTCACGTGAGACAAATTTGCAGACGACTTTAGACCGGGGTGGCACTGAAGAGATGGCTGTATTTATGGCACTCCTTCCCTATGCTCATTGAACTCAACTCAAGACGCTTATTTACGCTCTCAATTGCTCCATACACAGCAGCGCCCCGCCCTGCACACAAACTTGCGCACTTTCTCTTCTCAGGCAGCCCTTTCCTCCCTCACACGTTTGCACTCAAACTGCAAATGGCTGATGAATATTCAGTATGAGGGCAGAGTCAAACCGTTGTATCGGTCCACTGTGACGGTAATTTCATTGGTGGGATGTGACGAGACTTTGGGTTAATCTATTGACGGCTTGAAGAGTGTCAATAAAAAATGATAGATAAACCGTGTCACATTAAAAGAGGCAGGGTTCAAAGCATGAGAAAAAATTAGCAGTTTATAATCCGGAAAATGCGGTAGCTCGTGTCGTGCCATCGTGATGTGGTGTCACAATACATTTGAATTTGGCAGGCCAATGTGCAGCAGGGGTAATCTTGTCTTATTTCATCTTTGGAGAACAATTCTGTGAAAATCGCAAATAATTAAGTGGCATGATTTGCAGAACCTCTCCACATAGAAACTAATGAAGGTATGTTTGTTACACATTTGTTCATGTGAATTTTAGCTGAACAGTGCATTTTAAACGAGGTTAACTAGGTCAACAAGTCAAGATGTTTTGGCATCACCCAGGACAGCTAGTTGTGTATCAATGGTGACAAACTCTTACAGGTTTATATCGGAGGGCGTCCCGGTAGGAGCCAAACAGAGCGGCCTGCGCTCTCAGGAAGGCCCTTGCCACGCCACTCCCCGTTGCTGTTGACTGCTTCTTGAGCTTGCTCTTCAAAGAGGACACCTGGTGGAAAACATGATGAGAGAATTGCAGTGAGAGAGGTACGGATATAGAGGGGTAAAAGTTAAATTATCACCTCTGAAATTGGTGGGGGGGAAGCAGCTAGCCCATTCAGAGTGTGAAATATCACATTTGCAGGTCATCACAAGAAAGAAAAACAGATAGGAGAAAAGGAAAGGAACGCTCCAGCCTTTCCACTGTGCGTATGCGTTGTGCTGCTGGGAGCACCTGCTGCTTTGCTAATTGAGCAGAGGATGGGGAGTGGCAAGAGGGGAAATGGAAACTCACATCCGTGCTTTTCCTCACATAGCCACTCTCCTCCCCGTCACCTTTTTTGCTTTTCACTTCTCCTTCCATTTCTTACTCCCCGACTTCTTCTTTCCACCTCCACTGTGTTCCCCCTCCCACGATGGCTCTTCCAGCTCACTCTAGAAAGAGCCTCTTGACATAAAATGTCTTTAATTATTTTCTCCACTCCTAGCTGCGGCTCCAAGACTGCAGGCGAGAGGAGAGAAGCAGCAGGCCCGAGCTTGTTTTAGGATGACAAAAGATTCACCCTGGCCATGGTCCCCGGGGAGTCTGGGAAAGAAGTAGTCAAGAGACTCTCCTCACCTGCTCAGCAGAAGTCTGACTGAGCGAGGAGGAGGAGGAGAAGGTAGAAAAGGACTTCTGCTCTCTGTGTGGCCTGTGCCCACTTTGCTGATTGTGCATCTTTTCATTGGACTGTATGTTCAATTAGGTTCTAATTTACAATACAAACCAGGAGTCATGATGTCAGAGTTTACACCTTAAACAATAACAATGATTTAAAATTTCTCTCAGACTACATTTCTTGGCAAGATGCTGCCAAAAACGGATCTCGTCATGCAGTACAATAACAATACTAATAGTCCAAAAATACTGCTGTGTGTTCAAATAGTACTTTTGTCACATACACAAGCACAAGTTTTGCTGTGCTGAAAATGAAGCTTTTTAACCCAAGCATTTCAAGTAGCCTCTGATGTCTGTTTTCTACTAATTAAGTTGCATTAACTAGCAAAAACATACACAATTTTCATTTCGTCTGTTTTTTTTTTTTGTATGTGATATACGTTTCTGTCCCACGTTCCCCTCATTGCACTCAGCTAGTGGTTGATTAAAACAAAACGACTACATGTATAAATTAAATATTTCACGTCTGAAGTTGCAAGTGCCGCTGACTTACAGTGTGTGTGTGTGTGTGTGTGTGTGTGTGAGGGCCGCTGTCTTTGAGTGTGTGTGTGTGTGTGTGTGTGTGTGTGTGTGTGTGTGTGTGTGTGTGTGTGTGTGTGTGTGTGTGTGTCTGCGTGCGTGCGTGTGTGCCAGAAGGTTGCGTCCATCACCAAATGACAGCATGTTGCTTGGCATTACAGGACAAGTGTGAACAGAGACGGAAAAATAATCACGCTGAGAAGCGGCAGCGATCCTGAGACATTGCTGTCTGGGTATCCGCAATTAGCCGATCGGGAAAACTTCAGGGAGGAGAAGCAAAGTGTTCAGAGAGCTCAGGCGAAGGACAGGCGGAAAGGAACAGAGAGTGCGAGCAGAAGAAAGGAGGCAACAGAGAGACGGAGAGAGTGTCAGTCTTAAACTGGGACAGAGACAAAATGAGCAGCGTCTATTCATTTCTCCTGGGCTTTCTCACTCTCCACAGTGTCCCTGTGCCGCCATCGCAAATGCTCCCGGGCATCAAACAGAAAGTTTATCACGGTTAAATTAACAAGTTTCATCTCCATATTCACTCATTGTGCTAAATGCTTTTATGTTTGTGTAAAGATCTTTCTAGAATTAATATTTCATGTTTATGTGCATTTTCAGATAGTTCCCCCTCCCCCCCTATCCTTGCAATTCATTAAAATGTCTTTTTATTTCTCCCGTATTTGCTGGTGGGGGTGTGTGAATCAAAGTGAACACAATGTCAGTCTAAGTGGGGGAGGCATACCCCAAAGACTGTCAGACAAGACGGGCTAGCTGAGTTTACTCTGCACACAGAGCTGGTTGTGTGCAGCAGCTTTGAACGGGTGAGAGCAGTGCGCTGGCAAAGACTTTTTAATGAGACGGGGACACAATCAGTTGTGTTCTCTCTCGCAGTGTTAGGGGTGAAAAAAGTTGTGTTCAAAAGTTTAAGGGTGATTAAAATTCCTCCTATGTCACATGTGGGCGATCAATCAACAGTTGCAAATATATTGGCAGCGCGTGAAACACACTTGAATATTGGTTTTGTCAAGAGAGTCGAGAGCAAGGCGCCGCGATCGGGATGTGCATTTTGCATATCACATGAAAATAAGGGTGTTTGGTAATTGGAGTTTGACTGTGGAGCCCACGCGGCAATCATCAGGTACGTCTCTCCGGTAATGGTTCTGTCAAGCTAATTAACTTCTCCGGTTTGAGTGAAACTAACGAGACGCGTACAGGCATCAGAGGAAGGCCAGGCTCTACAGGTGATAACCCTATTTGGCAGTGACATTTTTTAGTGTAAAGTCACAGTGGCGGTGATGAGATCAAAGCCAGCGAGTCCCCCATTGGGTCCAATTAGAACTATTGCATTGTGCGGGGGAAGGGGTGGCGGCAGGAGAGGGGGGAGTGGGGAGTGAAACTAACGAGACGCGTACAGGCATCAGAGGAAGGCCAGGCTCTACAGGTGATAACCCTATTTGGCAGTGACATTTTTTAGTGTAAAGTCACAGTGGCGGTGATGAGATCAAAGCCAGCGAGTCCCCCATTGGGTCCAATTAGAACTATTGCATTGTGCGGGGGAAGGGGTGGCGGCAGGA